TCTTTAAGCTAAAATGAAACATTAGAATACATGGAAGACAAACTCACAGCTGAAGTATTTAGTCAGTCACTCAGAATATTCTTTATGGTGTTTGTATGAAATTCTTTAGCGTGATGATTAAAAGAATAGTGACCATATTTTAAATGAGTATACAGTGCTTTAGAGAGCAAATTGTGACATTCAATCTTTAGATACACAATACTTTACAGATCATGGATAGACAACCCTTTAAAGATTGAACTGTGTTAGTTCCATAGTAATCATTAAGAAAACCCCAATGGAGAAGTTGAAAAGCAAAGAAATAAAACATTCCACTCTACGGAAAGTTATCCAATCACAAAAGAGAAAAGCAAGAGAGGAAATAAGGAATGCAGAATCTTATAGAACAGCTAGAAAACAGCAAATGACAACAATAGTGACGATAATGAGGTCTCACTTTTCAGTAATGACCTAAGATGTAAGTGGATTCAGTTCTCTGCTAAAAAGGCAGATTAACTGCATGGAGACGAAAGCGGGAGTCTACCCTGTGGTGCTGACACAGTCACTTTGACTTTAAGGTCGTGCAGATTAGAATTGGAAAAAGATACTCCATGCAGCTGGAAACTGAGCAAGCAGGTTTGGCCGCACTTAGACAAAATGGGCTTTCAAGTCAAAAGCTATAGCAAGAGACAAGATCATTAGTTCATGACAAAGGATTCGGCTCACCAAGAGACTAACGATTGTAAATATACATAAACACCATAGTGAGCTACTTAATCTATTAAGGGCATATTAATAGATATGAAGGCAGGAACAGACAGCAGTACACTTGTAACAGGAGACTGCAAAGCCTCACTTTCAACAATGCGTAGATTATGTAGACAGAAAATCAATGAGGGGATATTAGCTTTGAGTGATACTTAAAACAAATGAATTTAGCGGACATACATAGAAAATGCCACCTACAGCAGCTGAATCTACATTCTCCGGTCTCCCCAGGATGGTCTCCAGTATTGGTTCTATGTTAGATCACAAAGCAAATCTCAACAAACTGAAGAAGATTAAAATTGCAGCTTTTTCCTTTTTCAATTTTTTGACCACACCCAGTGGTGTTTAGGGATCACTCTGGGCTCAGGATCACTCCTGGCAGACTCAGGAGGACCATATGGGATGCCAGGGGTAGAATCTGGGTTGGCTGCATGTAAGACCAGTATCCTGCATGCTGCTGTACTATTGCTCTGGCCCCAAACAGTTTCTTATCTAGCTGCTCAGTATTAGGGGGACGCTTGAAAGCGCACAGATGCAGTGAAATCAGGTTCATTTCTGTATGATCAGTGAGTCAAAGAAAAAATTCCAAAAGATGGGAAAAGATTGGTAAACCTTGGAGTGTCTTAAAAAGTAATAAAATTGATAAACCTTCTGTGAGATGAAGTAAAAGAATAAAAAAGACTCAGATATTAAACATGAGAGAGACTTAAACATGAAAGAGATAACTTATTAAAACCAAGGAGACCACATAAAATGCTGGAGCGCATGTTTTGTGAGGTCCTGTGTTCTGCCTCCTGAGCACTGCAGGCAGAGCCCTGTGGCATGGCTGGTCTGAGCACTGTGTTTCTGGGCTGAGTGTGAACAGTCACACCTGCGCTGCCAGGCCAGCATCTCAGCATTCGCCCTCAGCACCCTTGGTCCCAAGCACTGCAGAGAAAGCTCCTCCCTCGAAAACAGGAAGAATTGTTACAGCTAAGATCATGGAATATGATTTGTCACAAGAGAAAATGCCTATCATGAAACCTAGGGGGGAGATGGATGAATTCCTAGGAGTATATGGTTGGACAAGTCTGGAGAAAAAGAAACTCTGAATAGACCAACTCATAGTGATGAAGTTGGATCCATGATTTTTCTTTTTTTAATGCCAGCAAAGCAAAATCCAGGATCAGGCAGCTTCATTGGTGAATTCTGTGAAGTTTTCAAAGAAGAATTCTTACAGATCTTCCCCAGCCCTTCCCAGCCGTGAATGAGAAAGGAGCACTTTCAAAGTCATTTTCCAAGGCAGCCTTTCAGGGGCAAGGCTAACCAACAGTATTATCGGGGCAATGCTAAGTATAGTATTAGAAACAGCCTAGGACATTATAAGAAAAGAAAATTGTAGAATAAGATTCCCCAAAACAGAGACAACGACTTTCTCAATAAAATGCCAGCAAACTGAATCCAATAGCATACGAAAAGCATCCTCCACCATCCGCAAGTTATGCTTGTCTCTGGGAGATGGTTCCACATACACAAAGCAACACGTGCAATATTGAACAGATATTAACAGAACAATGACGATGGATACCATGGTCATTGAATACATACAGAAACAATATCTGACGAAATATTCCTTTCATGATAAATTCTCAGCAAATGAGCTCTAGGTGGACTGGACCTAATGGAATAAAAGCCACTGATAAGTACATGGCTGGTACAAAACTTAGCGGTGAAAACCAAACAATAATGCCCTTTAGAATTATGGGGGAAAGATCTTAATCAGTCTTAACAGTCCAATTTGGCATCACCCTAGAAATTCTAGTCAGAACATTTAGGCATGAAAAAGAAAAGGCATTCAAGTTAGAAAAGAAGAAAAATTGTGTGTGTAGTGACAATTTTATAGGTAGAAAACCCTGAAGACACTACCCCCACCCCCCAAAAAAACCCTTTACAACTAATAAACAAGTTCAGTAAACATTGCAGGATACAAATTCAACATGCAAAATTGAATTGCACTTCTGTATACTAACAACAAATGATCTGCAACATAAATTAAGAAAGCATCCTGGGTTCCAAGCAATCGTACAGCAGGTAAAGTGCTTGATCTTCTGCATCCCATATGGTTCCCTGATCACCATGCCAGGAGTAACCCCTGAGCACCACTGGGCCTGTCCCTTCCCCACAGACAAGACAAGGAAAGAAAGCATGCCCACTTAGAGTTACTTTTTAAAAAAAAAATGGCATACTTAGGAATAAATTTAAATGGGATGAAAGACCTGTATGTCGACAGCTTTGAGACGTTGGTGAAAGGAATCGAAAAAGACACAGCTGACGGAAAAGCTTTTCTGTGCTCATTATTGATATGGCTAAAGTGTTCATACTGTCGAATATGCAGCCCCTATCAGAATTCCAACGGCACTTCTGAAAACTGATCCGACAATACTGAGTTCATTAAAAAAAAAAAAAATCACAAATCGTCCCAAGTAGCCAAAGCAATCTTGAGAAAGAAGACCAAGCCAGATACGTCCTGATTTCAGAATGCAAGATGTAAAGCTGTAACAAAACAGCATGATCTTGGCACAGGATGGGGGGGCCGGGGGTGGTTGGGGGCGGGGGGAGGGCTCGCAGACTACCCAGTGTCATGGAAAAGAAAACTCAACATGCCCGCTAATGTCGGGCATGTGGTTACGGCATGGTCGCCAAGCATGTCCGGTGAGGAAATGTTCATGAATCGTGGGACAGTGGAGAACCACCTTTGGAGAAAGGAAATGGACGAATCTGACCTCGCCCTCCTCTGAGAAACACCTCCGGATCTGAGAAAGGGGTAAAGCACTCACCTTGCACGCAGCGGCCCTGGGCCAGTTTCTGGAGCACTGCCAGGGGTCACTCCGGAGCACAGAGCCTGGAGCAAACGCTGCACACCACTGGGGGTGGCCCAGTTTGCTCCGCCTCACCCCAAAAATCTTAAATGGATTAAAGTTCTAAGAGCTGGAACTATAAAACCAGGAGGAGGTGGGGGCACTCCCTGGCATGGATTTGGCAATGATTTTGGATGGACGTGGCAACAGAAGGGAAAATTATGTCGCGTTGCCTTGAGGTTACAAATGAAACTCCGGGGAAACAGAGAGGCGCTTCAGAGGGGGAGGCAGGTGCTCGCAGGGGTCTGTGTTGGCATGGCAGTGCTCCTGGAGTGCATGGCAGGGCAGTGCTCAGCACCCACGTGCCCCCTATGCCACCTACTTGGCAGTTGTCCCACTTTCCCTGGTGTCCATATGGTCACACCCACTGCCCCCAGCCCCACAGTGGGAGCGGGTGTGAGCACTGTGAGGGGCAGTGGTTTGAGGCTGCCCCAGGCATGTGGAGGGGAGGCAGCAGCCCGGCAGGTCGATGGATGTGATGTTTTGGCACCTCCTTGGGTGGAAGCAGATGGGTGAGAGCTGAGGAAGGCCCGAGGCTGGGTCAGGCTGGCATCCTGGCATCCTTCCTGCCCCCCCTCCTCTTTGAGGTGCTCGTTTTTGTTTCATCGTTTACGTGTGGAGTGGTTAGCGGTAAGAGCACTGTCAGCAGCGTGTGCCCTCCCTTCTCTGCCGGGTTGGCCTGTCCTTGCACTGCTGGGTGCAGCCCCATATAGGATTAAAGTGCCGGGGCGGGGCGGGGGGGGGGCGGGTGCCGGAGAGAGAGTGAAGTGGGTAGGGCGTCTGCCTTGCACGTGTCTAACCTGGGTTCGATCTCTGGCTTCCCATCTGGTTCCCCAAGCACTGCCAGCAGAGATGCCTAAGTGCAGAGCCAGGAGAAAGCCCCGAGCACCGCTGAGTGTGGCCCGAAACAAAACCCAAAACTACCCCGAGTTTCATGAGCTCACAGTGCTCTTGGTGGGGGAGGGAGGGGCTAGTGGTCAGGGTGCCGGACCCTACCCAGACCCTGGCATGCTGCCGGTGCTGCCGCCTGGAACAGGCCCTGCCTGCTGCCCGGCTCTTGGATGTCCTGCTCACTGTGGACAGGGCGTGTCCTTGACTGCTGGGACAGCTGATCCTCCAGGCTGCCCGCCCCCTCCCGGGCACGCTGCTGTCCCTGGAGCTGGGATCCTCACGTGCTCGCTCGCTTGCTCATTCCCGGCCTGGGCCCCGAGAGGCTCAGCCAGGTACCCAGAGCCTGGTGCCAGGCAGCCCAGCGAAGGGGGCACCGTGGTGTGCGCAGTGGGCCAGGGCTGGGAGGGCTGGCGGTCAGCTCCCGTCCAGCTGGTGACACAGGCGCTGTCCCCCTCTCTCCTCCAGATCCAGCCCCCTGCCCAGACCCACTGTCCCTGCCGGAGCAACACAGCATCCCTGCTGCTCCGCAGCCTCCGAGCCAGGCGGACCCCGGGGAGGCCCCGGGGGTCACACCCGCCCCTTTGGTGCCACCGTCCCCTCCCCTGGCGTCTCTGCCCCAGGACCCGGTCACACAGGCTGCTGGCCCCCCGCCGGAGCCGGCCACAGAGCGTCAGCCCCCCCAGCCCCTGGTGGAGACGCACGATGCCCAACCAGCCACCAGGCCCTCGGGCACAGGCCAGGAGCCTTGCGCCCCACCTCCGGAGGGGCCCCCTGACTCTGCGGGTCCAGGGGAGCCCGCTGCAGCCAGAGATGCCAGCACCCTAGGGGAACCGGCTTCGGCGCCGCAGCCGCTCCCGGCCTCGGTGGCAGCCCCCAGCCTGGCTGCGCCCGAGCTCCCCAGCCCCCCGCTGGGGCCCACCGCACCCCTGCAGCCCCCCTCAGCCTTGGAGTCGGACAGCGAGGGCCCGCCCCCCAGGGTGGGCTTCGTGGACAACACCATCAAGAGCCTGGATGAGAAGCTGCGCACGCTGCTGTACCAGGAGCACGTGCCCACGTCCTCGGCCTCCGCCGGCACCCCCGTGGACGCGGGCGACCGGGGGGACTTCACCCTGCAGCCCCTCCGAAGCGACCCGACCCTGCTGCCCCAGCCGGAGGTAAGTGGCCACCCTGCCCGGTGGGGCAACCCTAGGGGGAGAGGAGTGGACAGAAAGCAGAGCCTCCTGGCCGTGCTGTGGGAGGCTCCGGGCCCTTCCCAGCTCTTCCCTGTCTGCCCCCAGGTGGACAAACCGGTGGCTACCACAGGCCCGGGTGCCGTGCAGGAGCAGAGCACCTCCTCCTCCCTTACGGGTAAGGGGTCCCGACCTTCCTCTCCACCCGCCCCGTGCCCTGTCCCCGGCGGGACCCCAGCCCGCTGCTAAACCTGTTTCCAGGTGTCCGTGCGCCGAGTCCCAGCAGGGGCCGTGATCCCCCCAGCCCCAGACTCAGCCCGTCTGCCTGGGCCTGTCAACCACACGCTCTCCCTGTGGGCTTGCTGTGAACCTGACCCATTTCTGGGGAAGGTTCCTGGTGTGCTGAGGACAGAGGCAGGGTCGGGTTCCTGCAGTTCCGTGGGGGCCATGGGAGATCCTGGGGGTTCTGGCCTGGTGTCTAGCCCTCGCTGAGTCAGTTCTGTGCTCGAGAGAGCTGGTCAGCCTGAGGGGAGGGTGCGGTGGGATGGCCCCGCTCTCAGGGTGAGGGTGTCCTGACTCTGGGCAGCAGGCCGGTGGGGAGGGGACGGCTTGCAGGTGAGAGGTTGCACCTGGGCCCTCTGCAGACCAGAGCCATGGCAGGCAGGTCAGGATGGACCACCCGGACGGGGAGGTGCAGCCATCCCCTGCCCCCAGGGAGTGCAGAACCCCCCTGAGACAGGTGGGTGTCCCAGAAACCCCTCCTGGCTGCTGCTGCTCTGGGCTCCCATCAACCTCTCTGCAGCACATGTATGAGGCCAGGACAGAGTGCAGGACGTGCTGACCCTCCTGCTACCCAGAGACCTGAGTGTCCTTGGGCCTGGGCAGTGGAGGAGAGGAGGGTGGGTGCTGAGCTCCGCCCTTCAGGTGTGACACCGGCCCTTTAGGTTGGGGTGTAGGGGAAACGGGGGCCGTTAGACGGGGGAGGTGACAGTAGCTTCATGGGGCAGTGAAGCTTCAAGGTGAGTAGTCCCAGGAGTGGGGTCCCAGGGGTGGGGTCCCGCTGTGGGTGCAGAGGAAGGGCCTGAGTGTGGGGCCGAGTGAGCTTGTGTTTCTGAGACGGTGGCGGGGCGTCTCCCAGGTAACGCTCCCCATGTTTCTCGCTCCCCCAGCAGAATCATCCTCCAGCCCCTCGCTGGGCTCGGACGAAGGGTGCGCGACCACCCGCCCTGCGCCTCCCCCCGCGGCACCTCACGCAGCCCAGGTGAGGGGTTTGCCCTGGCGTAGCTGGCTGGGGGGTGGGGGGCCGTGGCTGCTGGTGGCAATGGCTCTGTTCATTTCTCCTTGTTCCCAAGGACGCCCCCACGTCTGCCGACCCTCCATGTCCGGAGTCCAGAGACCAGAACCGCGGGGCGCCCCAGGGAACCTCATCGGGGCCACCCCCCCACCATAGCCCCGGGACACTGGCTGAGGGCGGCCCCGCCTGCCAGCCCCCAGAACCCGGCGCCCCGGTCTCGGGGTCCCCCCAGAAGCGGCCACAGGACAGCAGCTCGCCCGCCAAGACCCTGGGCCGCTTCTCCGTGGTGAGCACGCAGGACGAGTGGACCGTGGCCTCTCCCCAGAGCCTGCGCTACTCGGCGCCCCCCGACGTCTACCTGGACCAGCTGCCCCGCAGCCCTGACGCCAAGCTGCTGGTGCGGAGGGCGCAGACGGCGGCGTCCATCGAGGCCGGGGCGGGCGAGCCGGTGTCCAGTGACTCTGCGGACGAGAGCCCCCGCCCGAGACCCCCGCCACACAAGCATGGCTCTCTGGCTGGCGTCGGGGCTGCGGCTGGGGACCTGGTGAGCAAGGCTGCCGCCTTCCTGGCCGGGCCCTCGCCGGCCGGCTCTCCGGGCCTGGGCACCGCCGGCAGGACGGGCGTGAAGGTGCCCACCATCAGCGTCACCTCCTTCCACTCCCAGTCATCCTACATCAGCAGCGACAACGATTCCGAGGTCGAGGACGCGGACATCAGGAAGGAACTGCAGAGCCTGCGGGAGAAGTAGGTCCTGGCACGGCCCGCGGGGTTGGGGTAGGCAGATGCTGGCGTCTGCCCCGCAGGGGCCCCTGGAGTTCCAGCAGGGCCAGGCGGGGCTGCAACAGAGAGCAGGGGTTGAGCGTGTGACCTAGGCTGAGGGACACCAGGCAGCCATAAGGGCTAGAACCTGCCCTCTACCCTCTCGGTAGGGTCTGCGCCCCCCTCCCCACCCCGGGGCCTTCTTGCTGGGGTCCTTACCTGCCTCCCCACCCCTCTGCACTCCCTCTGAGGTCCACGTCCGCCTCCCCACCCCTCTGCCCTCTCGCCCTCTGGTCTGTGCCCGCCTCCCCACTTCCCTGCTCTCTCTCTAGCTCCTGTGCCCACCTCCCTACTCCTCTTCCTCCTCTCTCGGGTCTCTGCCTGCCTCTCCACTCCTTTGCACTCTCCTTCTGTCTGTCTGTCCATCCGTCTGTCTGTCTGTCTGTCTGTCTGTCTCTCTCTCTCTCTCTCTGTGTCTCTCTCTGTCTCTCTCTCACTCTTTCCCTCCCTCTCTCTCTCTTTCTCTCTGGGATCTGTGCCCACACTTGTCCCTGCAGTAGTTGGGAGCAGCCTTGAGGACTTGCTCTCCCGGTCGAGGGGGTGACATGCAGCAGACACGCACAGCAGGTCTTCTCTAGGACAGTGGGACTCTCTGTGGGGTGTCAGAGGCTGAGCTGAGCGCCCCAGGGCTCCTGCGCAGGAGGGGCTGCCCTGGAGCCAGTGGGGGCCAGCGTGGGTTCTGGGGCCCAGCGGGGGCGGCAGTCTCCTGACTGTCACGAGGGACCAAGGAGGGAAGGACTGTATGTGTAGGAGAGAATGAGGGCAGCTGCCACCTGAGAGGGAGGCCTAGAGGTGAGGACAGGCTGAGAGAAACTGGAGGCAAGGGAGCCTGGAGGTGAGGGGCCTGGAGATGAGGTATTTGGAGGTGAGGGGCCTGGGGGTGAGGGGAGGTGAGGGGCCTGGAGGCGAGGGTTTTGGAGGTGAGGGGCCCTGGATGTGAGGGGCCTCAATGTGAGGAATCTGGAGGTGAGGGGCCTGGAGGTGAGCAGTCTGGAGGTGAGGGGCCTGGAGGTGAGGGATTTGGAGCTCAGGGGCCTGGAGGTGAGGGGTCTGGAGGTGAGGGGAGTTGAGGGCTCTGGAGGTGAAGGGCCTGGAGGTGAGGCACCCTGAAGGTGAGGGGCCCTGGAGGTGAGCGGTCTGGAAGTGAGGGGCCTGGAAGTGAGGGGCCTGGAGGTGAGGGGCCCTGGAGGTGAGGGGCTGTGGAGGTGAGGGGCTGTGGAGGTGAGGGGCTGTGGAGGTGAGGGGCTGTGGAGGTGAGGGGCCTGGAGGTGAGGGGTCTGGAGGTGAGGGGCCTGGAGATGAAGCGTTTGGAGGTGAGGGGCCTGGACGTGAGGGTGCCTGGAGGTGAGGGGCCCGGAGGTGAGGGGCCTAAGACGGTGACAGGCCTTAGACCGTGACAGGCCCTGCAGGAGGAGGGGCCTGGAGCTGTGCAGTGAGTCCCCAAGGGACCCCACTGGTCTGGGAAGATCCTTATGTGCCCGAGCGCAGAGCTGGCGTCCCCACATCTCTGACGTTCCTTACGGGGAGCTGCCGCCTGGGTGGGCGCCGGTTCTTCGTGTGCCTGTACTCCCCGTCTGGGGGAACTCTCGGGGTCCCTGTGAAACCCTCGCTGCCCTGCGCCCCCGGGCAGGAGCCAGCCTCCACGCCTCCTGGGGGACTGACCCGGCCACTCTCCTTCCTGTGCATGAGGGGCTTGGTGTGGGCCTCTCCTGGGTCACTGATGTGTCCTTCTGGGTTGTCAGAGGCGTCCGTGCCTCCTGCCGGGTGTGGCAGCTCCGGCCGGACCCCAGAGCCCCGTCCCTTCCCCGCAGGCACCTGAAGGAGATCTCCGAGCTGCAGAGCCAACAGAAGCAGGAGATCGAGGCGCTGTACCGCCGCCTGGGCAAGCCCCTGCCCCCGAACCTGGGCCTCTTCCACACGGCGCCCCCTGCCGGCCGCCGCCGGAGGACCAGCAGGAGCCGGCTAAAGGCGGGGAAGCTCCTCAACCCCCTGGTGCAGCAGCTCAAGGCCGTGGCCTCCAGCACAGGTCCGGGCCCTCCCGGGCTCAGCAGAGAGGGGCAGGCTGGGCGGGCGGGAGTGCGGCTCGACGTCTCTCTCACTGGACTGGAAGCTGTCGGGGCCTGAGGCCCTGCTGTGCGGGGGCCGGACCCCTCTTGTCAGAGGGCCCTCAGCTCCTCCTCTCCGCACAGCGCCCCTTTTCTCGGGCCCAGCGGAGGTGGGCAGGTGCCACTGCAGCGGGGGCAGCTCCCAGCACGTGGGGTCCGTCTCCGCGGGCGCCTGCCAAGCCCCCAGTGTCGGCCCCGCCTCTGCCCACCAGGGGCAAGTGGCCCGGAGGGTGCTGTGCAGAGCCCGAGCCCCGGCCCTCCACAGGCAGGGATGGTTGACCACCACAGAGGTGCACACACAGAGAGCTGTCCCTCACACACAGCCCACACCGAGCCCCAGGCTAGGCCCTGACCCAGAGCCGTGCAGGAGCCTCAGCGTGGCCGGAGCACCGGCCGTCCTTCCTGCTCGCCCGGCGGGGCCTCAGCCGCCCCCACAGTGCCAGCCAGGAGCCAGCGGAGGCCGTGTCATGCTGCCCGCCTGCCTGCCGGGGGCCTCATCCCGCCTGTCCCCTTCTCCCCAGGTCACTTGTCAGACTGCAGCAGAAACCCTCCCGCCAAGGACCCTGCTAGCGCCAGGGCAGGGCCCGCGGCAGCCCCGGAGCCCGGGGGGAAGGCGGTTCAGACCCGTCAGCCCTGCTCCGTCCGGGCCTCCCTGTCTTCCGACATCTGCGCCGGCTTAGCCAGTGACGGAGGCGGAGCGCACGGCCAAGGTGATTCCGCTCGCCGGCTCTGGGCATGCTCGAGTGCATCGGGCCCGTGTGGTGTAGCGGGGAGGCGGCCGCGGCCGTGCACGCGTGTATAGGCGTAGCCTCGAGGGCAGGGAGCGGAGCGCCCCCCCCACCCCCACGGTCCCCCAGTCTCTGCTGTGAGTGGCTCGGAGGGAGGCGGGGCCCGGCCGGAGCCCGCCGCCGCGGGGGTCCGCCGTGGCTGGCGTCCGCGTGAACTCTGCGCCCGTCCCCAGGCTCTGGCCGCCGGGTCCCGTCCCGTACGCGGCCCTTCCGTCGTCGGGAGGGCCGGCCGGGCGCGGGGGCCGAGCTCCTGAGCGGGGAGCTGGCCTCGAGGAGGAAGTGCTCGTCTCCGCTGCCCTGCGTGGTGAGGAGAAGCCCTGTGGCCGCCCGCGGCCCCCACCCCACCCCCCATCCCGTGCACGCCCCCCTGGGGTCCGCTTCTCTTCTGCTCCTGCACTGCCTCCTTTCCGTCCTTGGTCGGTGGCTCTGGGCCTTCGGGCTGTTAAGTGGCGAGGCTGATGTGGCTGGTGGTGTGTAGGTGGCGGCCCGAGACCGATACTTGATGCCTGTCTCTTTCTCTTCCCTCTATATTCATTTGCAGGCTGGACGCCTTACCACCCAACGTCTGAGAGAGTGGCCTATAAGTCTAGTAGCAAACCTCGCGCCCGATTCCTCAGTGGACCCGTGTCTGTGTCCATCTGTCTGTATTTGTTCTTTTGTATTTTCTCACCTCCCGGCCCTTGGTTTCTCCCCGCCCCCCGTCATCATCACCTCCATCCACTGTGTAGGGTGCTCCCGGCCCTGGCTAGCGGCCCGTCCCTTACCGAGAGGGCAGCTCCACCCTGCCCCGACACCGCCCGTGCATGCTCTCGGCCACGCCGGCCACCAGCATGTCCTGCCCCCACCACCCTGTCCCCACGGACACACTGCCCTTGCCCACACCCCAGCTTCTCTGCTTCCTCTCCGTCACACCTGTGTTCCTCTTCTTTCTCTTTTTATTTTTTTTTTGGACGTGTGGACGTCGTTTTAGTTCTGTTGCGACTGTGGCAAACACACACAAGCCCACGTCCCCAGTTGCAGCGACAGCCAAGAGAGTGCCCGGCTTCCCTAGCTAGACGCATGGCGTGCTCAGCCCTGTCGGGACCCCCGAAGACATGCATGTAGCCAGCCTGACACAGTTGTGGGTTACTGGAGGGTGTCACTCCTGTCCCAGGGCTGTCTCCCGACAGGCCTCCCTGCCCCTCCCCGCCCAGCCCTGCCTGCAGAAATGCTTGGGGTCAGGGGGCAACCCTTGCCCCTCGGCTGTCCTGGAGTACGTGACTCGGTGTCTTCCCTGTTAGCCTGCCCAAGGTCAAGCCTGTCCCGTAGCCAGCTGCCCTGCCCCTCCCCTGCCCTCCACAACCCTGCACACCTCCTGCAGGGCCCCCAGACTTGCTCTCAAGCTCGGAGTGATGGCGGGGACTCCAAAGCCCTAGGGGGGTTGAGGTCTTCGGGAGGGAGCGTTGGCAGAAAAGAAATTAAGACCCCCCCCCCCCCTTTTTTTTCCTTTTTTCTTTTTTTTCTTTTTTTCTTTTTTTTCTTAAACCCACTGGATTGGACATGCTGGTTTGGGGCACATGGCTTTTGCTGGTACAACAAAGATACATTGTCCTTGTCAGGGCCCAGAGGCCAGGCTTGTGGCAGTGCCCGCAAGGGGAGGCCGGGGGCCCACAGAAGTGCCCGAGTACCCAGGGTTGCTGTGGCTTCAACTCCCGAGCGGGGCGCTGCTCGGGGCTGGGGGTGGGGTGGGCAGCACTCTGTGCCCAGCTGCCCCTGCCTGGGAGCCGCTGGTATGCCTGGTGTCCGTCTTGTGGTCAGCTGGTACCTATGTCCCTGCCAGAGAAGCGCTGGATCAGGGGATGCTCCCGAGGCCCCAGGTGAGGCCGTGTGAGTGTCCGCCCTGCCTGGCCACCCGTGTGATGATCTCGGCAGGGTTTCTGCTGGATGACTCGTTCCAGTGAGGGTCCGGGTCATCCCTGCCCTCGATGCTGGGAGGCAGGAAGGTGAGGCTTGGCTGTGGCAGCAGGTGGCGAGGCCGGGTGAGGCTCTGCCTGGAGGACCCCCGTGCAGGTGCCCGACCCCCCGTGCTCTGGAGTGAGGCTGCCCCATGGGGCCCTGGCTGGAGCCGCCTCCGCTGGCTCCTGAGGGGATCTGGTTGCTTTCTGAGGTCACAGTGGGGCAGTGACCCCTGCCTCTGGGCTTGAGGGACGTGCAGAATGGCGGGGCCTCGTTGGGGCCTCGTGGGGCCTCGTGGGGCCCGAGCAAAGGTCACTGCTGAGCACGGGCCGGGAGCACCTGTGGAGGATCCCAGTGTCAGAGCTGCGGGCCAGGGAACTGAGTGTGCCCACGGCCTGGGCTCAGGAACGGAGCCAGAGTAATACTCCAGGGGTGCCCAGTTCTCGGTGGAGCGGAGCCCTGGGAAGGGAGGCCCGCCCAGCCAAAGCTAAGGGTGTGGCCGAGAGACTGTGAAGGCCAAAGGCGGGCAGGGCTGGTGACTGTTAGGGGCAAAGAACCCTGATGCTGACCTGTGGGGTGGGTGGGAAGGAGTCCGCAGGGACCCTCAGCAGATGGGCAGTGCAGCAGGGGACCTGAGTGAGGGTTCTGCAGTGACCTGACTGTTCACAGGGCGCTCCCCTGTCGCAGGGGCTTGTTTGTGACGCTGGGCAGGTGGTAGGTGTGGGTGGCAGTAGAGTGTGTGGTTAGAGTGTGTGGTGGTGGGGGAGTGTGTAGTGGGGTGTGTGGTTGTGTGTGTGTGTGTGTGTGTGGTGGCAGGGTGTATTTGGTGACAGAAGAATTGTATGTGGTGGCTGGGGTGTGTGGTGACGGGAGTAGGTGGTGGGGGAGTGGGGGGGGTGGTGACAGCGGTGTGTGTGGTAGCAGGGGATATGTGGTGTGTACAGAGTGTGGTAGTGGATTGGGTAGTGGCAGGGGGTGCGGCAAGGGTGTGGTGGCGGAGAGTGTGCTGTGGGGTATACGTGGTGGTGGGATGTGGCAGAGGTGGGTGTGGGATGGTGATGGGTGTGCCGTGTGGCAGGGGTGTCTGCTGGTCAGTGTGTGTGGTGGATATGTGGTGGTGAGTGTGGGGGCGTGTAAGGTAGTCTGTGTGTGTCATGGGTATGGTGGGTGTGTATGGCGGTGAGTTGGTGGGTGTGTATGGTGGCCAATGGGTGTGGTATGGCGGGGGGGGTGTGGTGGTGAGTGTGGTGGGGGTATGGCCGTCAGTGTGTGTGGTGGGTGTGTGTTGCAGAGAGTGTCAGTGTATGTGGTGGTGAGTGTGTGGTTGTGTGTGGTAGTGAGTGTGGTGGGGGTGTACGGTGGTGAGTGTGGTGGGTATATGGCAGTCAGTGTGTGTGGTGGCAGGAGGGGGTGTGTGGTGGGTGTAGGTGACGGGAGTGTAAGGGTGGGATGGGGGTTGTGGTGATGGGAGAGTGTGTGGTGTGTGTATGGTTGTGGGAGGCAGGGTGTGTTGTAGACTCAGGAACTGTGGCTGCAGGTCTTGCTGGGGCGTCCTGTTCTCCGCCCTCCTCTGTTTCTCTCTCCTCTCCTGCTCCTGTGCCCAGAGCCGCCCGACCCTCCATCCTGTCCACGCGCTGCCCGGCCCAGCTGTTTCCCCGTGTGCTGCTAGCAGTGAGCCTGGCTTCCGTCTTCCGACATGTGTGTCTCTGGGCCCCTGAATGCCATTGTGCCCCCCTCCTTCCCCCCACTGGGCCTTCCCTCGGTCCGAGTGTTCTGGTCCTCTCTGCGGAGCCCCAGGCTGTGCGGGGAGAGGGCACAGACAGATGAGCTCGCTGCGCCCACCCAAGCCTGCCCGGATCCGTGACGCGCAGCCCACTCGCAGGCAGGCTGGGGCTTGGGGTGACGGCACCCAGGGTGGGGCCGCGACCCGTCCTGCCCTCCTGGCTAAGGCTCCGCAAGCAAATCCGGGCACATTTCTTGGCTTGAGTGGTAGCTGGCATCGCACACCGGTACCCAGCACTTCGGGGGGTTGAGTTTTGGGACCCAGGAGCTCGTTTTCCTCAGATTCCCCTGCAGGGTCCCCTTCCCCCGCACCGTCAGGACTAGGCGCTGTTTGCAGCCTCAGAGCTGCCTGTGAGGGTGGGGGACAGCCAGTGTTCCTGGGGGGCTGTCAGACACGTGCTGTGAGTGACAAGATGCTGGGGGCCTTGTGCGCTGCCCTTCTCGTGGTGGGCAGCCCCAGTGGGGCTCTGGGGCCACTCCTGGCTGTGCCTGGGGGTTTGTGTGGTGCTGTCGTGGAAGCCACCCCCACGCAGAGTCTGTCCAACCCCCGGAGACTGCTCGGGGCCTGCCTCACACACCCGGGTCAAAGGTTCCAGCAGCTCTGTGGCCGCCAAGGCCTTGGGTGTCAGCATCCTCTGCCAGGGCCCCTGGTAACCCCAGGTGGACCTTCGTGGGCCTCCTTGTAGTATACCTGTGTGAGTCACGCGTGTGTCCCGGGGGCCTCCTGTGGTCTGTGCACTCCTCCGCGGGGGCGTGTGTCTTCTCTGGGTTTGCTGTGGTCTCCTGGCAACCCTGCTGGGTCGCCTATGGCCGCCGGGGCTCCCTCCCCAGCCCGCTTGCTTTGCCACCTCTTGTCTGCTCTTGTCTGGTGGACGTGGGCAGGCGCGGGGGGGGGGGGGGCAGGGGGGCAGGGGTCTGGCCCAGCAGGGAGCAGCCAGGTGCAGCTGGTCACAGTGTCTATGTGATGGGCTGGGAGGGCAGGGTCTGGGCAGGCCCCTGGCGCTGGGGGGCTCCACAGAGGTGGCTGAGGATAGCTGGGCTCTGGTTCCTGCTCGTCCTCAGCCTCAGGGGGACTGCGGGAAGTGCTGACACTTGGTCCTGGGCTGGGTGCCGTCTGGGGTGTCTAAGATGCATGCTGTGTGTGCTCTGTGATTGCGTGAGGCGTGTGTGTGTTTGTGTGGTGTGTGTGAGGTGTGTATGTGGTATGTAAGGGTGTGAAGGTGTGTGTGTGGTACATGGTGTGTGTGTGTGGTGTGTGTGTGCATGTGCCGGGGTGTGTGTGAGACTGCGTCTGGCGTGTTTGTGTGTGAGGTGCGTGTGTGAGCGTGTACGGTGTGAATGAGGGTGTGTGGGAGCATGTGAGACCATGAGGGTACATGATGGCCGTGGTAGCCCCGTGGCACTGGTTCCCAGGGGAGGAGGAGGGTCTGCGCTCCCTGCTGGCCGCCCGGGGACTCAGCCTGGTGTCCCTCAGCAAGGGACCTTCTAGGGTCCATGTGTCCTCGGCAGCACGTAGCAGAACTCAACATCACCTCCCCTAGAGCCACTGGCTTTAGGCCGCAGGCCCCAGCGGGGGGCTGCTGCAGTGTCAGGGAATCCCAGAGAGCCCCCAGAGGACCCTGTGTGCCCGGGGTTCCTCGGAGCAGGCTGGCCGGAGCACTCCGAGTCCACCTGTCCTGCCTCACCTGGCCAGACGTAAACCACACAGCTGAGCTCAAATACTGTCTGGGCCCAGTTCCCAAAGTCAGGTCACCAGGTCACCCAACTCTTTGTCAAGGGGCCTGGGCTGGCATTTGCCCCTCGCCCCTAAGGCAGGAGGCGGAACCTTCCAGATAGGGCAGGTGGCCCAGCCCAGCTTTGTGAATCCTGGGCACCCTCAGAGCAGCCCGGGAGAGCATTCTGGCAGTTGGCAGGGTGGGCAGTGGGCAGCGACCTTGGGACTGTGATGCCGTCCCCACCCACCCTTCTGCCTTCCTCTCCCTGCACCCTCTGCCCAGCAAGCAGGCGGCGGACTTGGCTCTGGAGCGGGGGGTGGGGTGGGGGGTTCACCCGTCACCCCATAGTCGGGCAGCCTTGGGGAGTGCAGGGCCCAGCCACACTTTGTGACGGTCTAGTGGCAGCGGCCAGTGTGGGCCCTGAGGGCCGCGGGGGAGCAGGGGTGGTTTGCAGAGATGCTGGGGTGACACTCCCTGTCTTCCTTAGACCAGCCACCCTCCCCCATCTCCTCCACACCCACCTCTGACCTGCCCGGGACCCTGACCAGCCTCAAACCCACAAAACAATGTATCTTTTTGCACTTGGAAAAACCCTTCCGTGGGCTGTGGCCGCGCTGGGGGGCGCTGCTGAGAGCAGCTGGCCGCTGACCGCAGGCACTGGCCTCCACCAGTGGGGGTGGGGTGCCCCACAGCCTGGGTTCCAAAGCTGGGGGTGAGCTTCGTTTTTTTTTTTTTTTCATTTTTGTGTTCTTTTTCCCCCTCAGCTTCCTTAAAAAAATACACATCTAGACACGCACACACATTCCACCTGGAGCTTGGGGGTCGGCCCGGCACCCCCACCTTTGGCAACGCTCAGTGACGGCTGCACCGACACAGGCGGGCGTGGTCCCTTCTCTCCGACCCGCAGGCCTTGTCCTCGCACACCGATGACCTTTGCTTAGAGTGTGGTGGCTGTCCCTTCCCCGTGTGTGCTGTCCTGCCTAACCCTGTGGTCTTGTGTCATTTCTTCTTCCCTTGCAGGGTCTGCCTTGAAGCGTCTCTGTCTAGGCAAAGACCACAGCAGTCGTAATTATCGGGGTTTCTTACGCTTCTCCGCTCTTCATCGCATGGGCTTCCTGGTGCTTTAGTGATGCTGCAGGTTCCCGCGGGCGGGCGGACGGGCGGGCGGGCGGGAGTGGGCCTGTCCCTAGCCCACCCTCTGCAGCCACGTCGCCTGCCCAGGGGATGAGCTGCCCGGGCTCACCCTCGCCTGCCTGGCTCCGAGAGTCCCTGCCCTCCCGCCAGTGCCCAGCTAGCAGGCTTCCCCGTCACGCCCCCACACTGACTGGCCCCTTCTCAAGGCCGTAGGAAGGGCATTGCCTTGGCTTGCCAGAGATGAGGCCCCAGGAGATACCAGGCCAAGCGGGTATCCTGCCCGGCCACGCGCGCGCTCTCCCCTGCGCCCCTTCCTTCCTTCCTTCCTTCCTTCCTTCCTTCCTTCCTTCCTTCCTTCCAGCCTCCTCCCCCCATCCCACCTCCAACCTTCCTTTTTTTATTATTATTATTTTCTGGCTGGAGTATTCATGTAGAAATAGCCCCGTGTATATAAAATCTCACCACTAATGTTTAATTGTTTGTGTCTGTGCTTTTTTTTTCGTTTGTTTTCCTCATCGCTAGCCACTAAAGTAGACTACATTCTGCAATGGCTTGTTTGAAGAGATGGTCGTTGGGTTATTTATCTATTTATTTGATACAGAAGTCCAAAAAAAAAAACCAAAAATAAAAAGAATGGGGCCTCTTTAAAATTACCAACAAGAAAATCCTGCGGGAAGCAGCAGTGCTTGGGGGGAAAAATATTGCGGGCCGTTTGGGGATCATCGCATTCGATTGTCTCTGTGAGGCGGCCGAAGGCACAGTTCTTATCCGGGCTGTCCACAGCCCGCTGCTGGCCTCAGTCGCCTGGGGCTCAGGCTCAGGCTGCCAGACCCTCAGTACCCGTGCCCCGAGCACTCCAGGAGGAGAGGCACCATCTCTGTGTCCTAACTTCCAAACTCTCATGATAGCTCGTCAGCGAAACTGATGGGCCCGACAGCAGTCGGACTGTGGAGGCAGCAAGGCAGCTGGTGCTGGCCCCTTGCTGAGGAGCGTCCTCTCGCTCGGGATTGTCCCTCTCCTTGGAGTCTGGGGTGGCAGCTGCGAGTGCAGAAGCCCCAGAGCCGCCCCTTCCTGGGTCCCCTCGGGGGCGCTTTTTCTGGGCCTCCCCTCTTGGGCTGGCAGCCCCGGCAGTGTGGACACACACAGGTCAGGCCGGCCAGCTGCCTCTGCTGCAGGGGGCATGGCCGATGGGCACAGCCTGCCCACCCCCCATGGAAATTTCCACAACGTGGGTGCATGCGAAGGTCCCTCCCCGTGCAGACCATCTCCTGAAGCAAGGCGTTGCCCAGCTAGGCAAGGCCATTGTGAGAGTGAGCAGCTGGCCGGGGTGGCCAGCCTGCCGGTGTCCCCAACCCTGGCCTGTGTGTGCTCCCCAGGGTCCTCCGCCAGCAGCCTGGTCCCCGGCCCCGACCCAGGCCCCCAGCCCGCCCTGCACGTCCAGGCCCAAGTGAACAATAGCAACAACAAGAAAGGCACCTTCACGGATGACCTGCACAAGCTGGTGGACGAGTGGACCAGCCGGACGGCAGGGGCCGCGCAGCTGAAGCCCTCGCTCAATCAGCTGAAGCAGACGCAGAAGCTACAGCACATGGAGACCCCGGCGGGCCGCCCGCCCACGCATGGCGAGGCCTGGGCTGTAAGTGGGGCATGGGACCTGTGAGGGCTGGGGGGGCACCCCGGGCCCCGAGTATCCTCAGCAGAGGGACTGGCTCCGGTATCCCTTCCCAGGTGGGCAGTGATGTCCTGTGGTTGTCATGTGCCTGTTAGCCACGTGGGACAAGGATGGTTCCGTGGCCACTTTGCTGCCCTGTTCTGCTCTGTTTGGGTGGTTGAGTCTGAGGACTTCTCATGGATTCTGGATCTTAATCTCTTTTGATGTATGACGTGCAGATATTTTTTTTTCCATTCTGTGAGCTGACTTTATACTCTGTTGATAGTGTCCTTGGATGCATTGAAGGGTTTTTTGGTTTGTTTCTCTGAAGTTTGATATATCCATATTTATTCTCTTGTTGTCTGTGCCTTTGGTTTTTCATATAGGCAAATTCATTACCAAATCCAGCGTCATGAAGATTTTGCTGTTCAGTGATTTAAATTTTTATGTTTTGTCATTATTTGTTTCTGTATTTATTTGAATTATTAGGTATTATTAGGTAAATGCCTAATTTCCACAATAAAGAAATTGTACTTGGACCTACAACTTTCCTATGTGCAAGTCTAGTTTTCCCAGCAAAATTTGTTCAAAGGATTACTGTTTCCCCATGGAATGGGCTTGGCACTGCTGTTTCATGCCCAGGTTTATTTCTGTTCTATTTTATTGGTCTCTGTCCTTTTGCTAGTACCACACAGTTTTGATTTCTGTAACGTTGTAGTAAGTTTTGAAATCGGGACTCTTGAGTCTTCTAATTTTGTTCTTCAAGATTGTTTTGATTATTGGCGGGTCCTTGAGATTCCGTGTGAATTCTAGGATGGATATTTCCTATTTCCTGTTTGTTGAGACTGATCATGACTGTATGGGTTTTATAGGTCAGTTTGCTTAGTATGGACATACTATCAGTATCTTTATCTACCAGTCCAGGAGGGCTTTGGTGGTGTGGGCCACACCTGGCGGTGCTCAGGGATCACTTCTGGCAGGGCTCAGGGCACCCCGTGGTATGCCAGGCATCAAACCCCAGTCAGCCTATCAAGGCAAGTACTTATCTGCCCTCTGTACTATCACTCTGACCCATTCTTTCTTTTGACAATGATTTCTTCTTTTTAGCATGTAAGTCTCAACTCCTTTGCTAAATGTATTCCTAATTATGTTGTCCTTTTTAACACTTCTATAAATGTTTCTTTTGCTTTTTTCAAGTCATTCATTGCTAAATGTAAAGAATGTAACTTATTTTGGTGTTCTGATCTTGTACCTTGTACCCTACAGCACTGCTGACCTTAGGAATTAATTAACCATAATCTTTAAAAGGTATTTAGGGCTGTGTGGATTCTGCAGAGAAGGTCATGTCATCTGTGGAAAAAAGATTATTTTTTTCCTTTCCAATATAGATGACCTTCATTTCATCTTCTTGCCTAATTTGATTGAGTCAGCCTCTTAATGTGTATTGAAAAGGCATGGCTGCAGCAGGCGACCTCTCACCTCCCTTCACCCCCACTGCAGGCTTAGAGGAAATCTTTCCATGTGACACCACTGACTATGATATTACCTGTGGGTTTTTTCTTTTCTTTCTTTTTCTTTTTTTTTTTTTGGTTTTGGAGTCACACCCGGTGATGCTCATGGGTTACTCCTGGCTCTGCACCCAGAAGTTACTCCTGGCGGTGCTCGGGGGACCATATGGGATGCTGGGAACTGAACCTGGGTTGGCCGCGTGCAAGGCAAACGCCCTACCTGCTATGCTATTGCTCCAGCCCCTGTGGGTTTTTTCTTATTCAGTCTTTGTTATATTGAGAAAGTTCCATTTTACTTCTGGTTTGTTGAATGTTTTAACCATGAGAGGATATTGGTTTTTGTCAGTTTTTCTCTTTGTTCATTGAGATGATCATTTAAATTTTTTTTTGTCCTTCACCCAATCGATGGTTATTAGATTGGTTTTCATATCTTAAGCCATCCTTGCATTCCTAGGGTAGATCCACCTGTTCATGTTATATACTAATATGCTGCCAAATAAAAGCAGTTTGCTGATATTTTGTTAGCTAATTTTTCATCCATGTGCAGAAATACTACTTGGTAACTTTCTTTTTGTTATTGTTGTTTTCTTTTGTTTGGTGGGGGGGGCCACACCTAGTGATGTTCCGGGCTTACTCCTAGCTCTGCTCTCAGGAATCACTCCTGGCAGGCTCAGGGGACCATATGGAATGCCAGTGATTGAAACCAGCTGGGCCACAGGCAAGGCAAGCACCCTACCCACTGTATTATTGCTCCAGCCCCTATAACTGTCTTTTCCTGTGATACGTCTTTGATCAGTCTTTGGTGTCCTGGTGGTATGGCCACCTACCTGCTGTACTATCGCTCCGGCCTCTTTAGGATTATTTTTAATGTGTGCATTTAAAGTTAAAACTTTTAAGTACTATTTTTGCTGCATCTCATTTTTTATATAAATATCAAAATAAAATTTTGATGTATTTTCTTTTCCTTTTCCTTTGTTCCAGGGTATTTTCTGATTTTCTTACTTCTTTAACCCTTTGGTTGTTAAAAATTGTGTCACTTAATTTCTACATACGTTTGTTTTCAAGTGGTTTATTTTGGGGTAAGTTATTGATTTGTAATTTCACTCATAGTATTAAAGTTGCTGTGTGTGATTTCATCCTCTAAAATGTATTGACTTGGCAATAGAGATTGAAGAGGGGTTAAGTTTCTTTCCTTGCGTGTAGCTGACTTTGGTTCAATCCCGGCATCACATATGGTTCCCTGAGTACCTCCAGGAGTGATCCTTGAGTACCACCAGGTTTGGCTTCCCCCAAAATAGGGGCTAGAGCGATAGTACAGTGGGTAGGTGTCTGCCTCGCAGGTGACTGACCCGGCTTCGATTCCCAGTTTTAAGTCTGAGGCTGGAAAGATAGTATGGTGAGTAAGGTGCTTGCCTTATAAGCAGTTTGAAATCGGGACTCTTGAGTCTTCTAATTTTGTTCTTCAAGATTGTTTTGATTATTGGCGGGTCCTTGAGATTCCGTGTGAATTCTAGGATGGATATTTCCTATTTCCTATTTGTTGAGACTGATCATGACTGTATGGGTTTGATCATCAGCTCTGCATTTGGTCCCCCAGTACTGCCAGGAGTGACCCCTGAGAGCAGAGCCAGGAGTAAGCCCTGAGCACAGCTGGGTGTGGCCCAGCAACCAAAACAAAACATTTTGTGTTGATGATAATATCACCAGCCCAGCTCTCTTTTGTTTGCTGCTTGAAACGTAAATCATTTTCTGTTCTCTTAATTTCTGCTTCTTTGTGTTTTTGTTTCTAAAGTGGTTCTTTTGTAAATTAGTGTATAGATTGGTCACGGTTTTTTAAGTATTCTGATAATTTCTGCTTATTAATTGGAATTCCTTTGCATTTAACATAATTCTGGATGCAGAAGAACATCTGCCATTTAATAATTTGTTTTCTATATGTCTTAGAAGTTTTAATTCCTTAATTCTATTATTGCATTCAAAACTTTTTTTAATAGCATATAATTTAGAATTTAATCCTCTTTACACACGTGTGTGTGTGTGTGTGTGTATCTAAGTTTCTTACTTGTTATCTTGGGTATTATATGTACATTTTAAAGTTTTTAATGATGTACCTTAAAATCCACAAGTTTTACTCTTTTTATTGCTATTGTCACACGTTGCATCTTTATACTCTGTATGCCCATTAACAGACTCTATACTGCATTTTCCTTTCAAATCGTATGAGGGAAGAAGGAAAACCAAAATTGTAATAAAACTGACATATTCACCCACGTAATTATGTTCTTTATTCTTTTATATGATTTTACGTTCCTGTTAATCTTCTCGCATCCCCTCTTGTGTTTTACTGGCTGTCCGTTCCATGAGTTTTGAGCTTCTTAAACAGCCCCAGCGTTTTCTCTCTAGCCCGGATCAGAGAGGTCTGTGGCAGCAGTGCTGCCGTGTCTTCAGGACGGCAGCCTGGCTCACTAGCTGACAGGGCTCTGCGTTTTGTTGCTTTCCCTTTACGATTGTTGCATCCTGGCTGTATTTTTTGTGTGTGGTTGTGTCGCTGGGTAACTAGAATAAGGATGTCCATGTGTGCTCTCCGGGACATACAAACAAGCGAAGTATCATGCAGCCACACACTGCAGAGGGGCCTGGCCTAGAGATGAAATGGCCACTTCTGGGGCCAGAGAGATAGTTCAGTGGGTGGAGTGCTTGCCTTGCATGCGGCTGACCCGGGTTCCATGCCCAGCACCCCATATGGCCCTCTGAGCAACGCCAGGACTATTCTAAGTGCAGAGACAGGAGTTACCCCTGTACATCACCTGGTGTGGCCCAAAAACCTGAAAGGAAAAAAAAAGAGAAAGAAGAAGAAATGGCCATTTCTGAATGTGGTTTCTAATTTCCAAGGGCTGGGGGCAGGGTGGAGCTGAGGCCCTGCCAGGTGGCAGGTGTGCTTCCGGGGTTCCTTACCTGCAGGCAGAATGGTGACTTCTGAGAGTCAAGTTGCTATTAATCTTTCATTTCAGCCTGGGTATTCCCTCTCATAACAGCCTTAGTTTTTCAATGCGGTGGTCTCGATTTCCCCACTCTTGATAGTTTTACTGCTACATGTAGAATTCTCGGTTGACAGTCTCTGCCTTTTTGGGCTCTAGATACATTTTCTGCCACCCCTTGTCCATCGGAGTCTTCCATAACGAGTAATTGATCCACTAAGTGGTATCCCCAGCGGTGCTCTTGGCTTTGTATACTTTTCTTTGTTTTGTATACTTTGTTTTTCTTTCTGCTCTCAGATTTGATCATTTTAATTAGCCTCTTTCCAGTCTGCTTTCTTATTCCCCTGCTCCAATCAGCTGCTGGCCCCTGAAGTGCATTTTGCAATTTCAGTCTTTATACATTGTAGTTCTACTATTTCTTTTCCATTTCCTCTTTATGCATTAACAGATGTTCATGCATAATTTTCCTAGTTTCCTTTTGTTCGTAGATTCCTTTGGC